GGTGGTACAAATTTTCGGATTCTGCGAGTTCGGTTAGGAGACCAAAGGTCTGCTATTATTGGACATGATGTAGATAGACAACCTATTCCCCAGCATCTCATGACAGGCACTAGTGAGGTGGCCGAGTTTGTGCTTTCTTGCTTGAGTTCTTGACGTTAACTTGTAAAGATTTTAATATTAAGACTTCAAATACTGACATTTTCCTTTTCATTTTATTCTCTCTTGCACAGGAGCTCTTTGATTTTATAGCATCATCACTGAAGGATTTTGTTGAAAGGGAGGAAAGTGTTTCAGAACCTTCACAAAATGAAAGAAGGGAACTTGGCTTTACTTTCTCATTTCCAGTGAAACAAACTTCTTCTTCGTCAGGCATTCTGATTAAATGGACCAAAGGGTTTGTCATTGAAGACATGGTTAGTTGTATTATAACTCTATTTTATTTTGGTGCTTAATAAATCAATCTCAATGCTGTGAAAGAAATAAATCTTTTCTGGGGAAAACATTTTCCTACATACTCACTTATCTGAAAAAATGCACCAGAAATTAATTTAGCTCTGATGGATGTCTTGTTCCACTGAAATAACGTATATCCTCTTTTCTTTTATTCCTTACTTATGTGAGACTATATTTTGACATACATGTGAGTTCACATTTGTTGATGATTTTTATTTTTTTCAATGAATCGTTAAGTGTTACCATGTTATGAAATATCAGAAAATTGCTGTATTTTCCGTAGTAAATCCAGAATCAGTCATCCATCCTCATACTCACTTATCTGAAAAAATGCACCAGAAATTAATTTAGCTCTGATGGATGTCTTGTTCCACTGAAATAACGTATATCCTCTTTTCTTTTATTCCTTACTTATGTGAGACTATATTTTGACATACATGTGAGTTCACATTTGTTGATGATTTTTATTTTTTTCAATGAATCGTTAAGTGTTACCATGTTATGAAATATCAGAAAATTGCTGTATTTTCCGTAGTAAATCCAGAATCAGTCATCCATCCAACAAAATGATCACTTCTGTGGAGACCTGCTGAAGGAGAACTTATGTAGCATGATGTATTCTATTTCCAGGTTGGAAGAGATGTTTCCGAGTGTCTCCAGCAAGCAATATCTAGAAAAGGCCTGGATATGCGGGTTAATGTACTTGTAAGCATACTGTTCCTATATAATAATGCTTTGTTTGCTGTTATGCTGAGAAATGAATATATTCTGGTCTTATGTTTTGGAAAAGAGCTATGTAAGTCTTTGTGTGCTGTCCTAACCTCGTTTCTATATTATAAAATAAATAGATGGTAGTTGACCATTGAATTCGATTTTGACCATTATTTTCATGTCTGCAACAGTGTGCCTCTTCTGTGGCCAATAACAAATCATGAATAATAAGTTCATTGTATCTTAATGATTCTTGCGATAGTTGGACCTCATCATCTATGCTCAGAACTTTTTGTTCATCAGATGGCAATTATGCTGTTCCAAAGTACTGATTTGAAAATTTATTTTCACATTGATTGATTGCTATGATCTGAACTTAATACCAGCAAGTTTATGTCCATCTAATCTGTTGGAAGAAAAGGTGCAACTTTTAGCCCACCTGACATCCCATTGGAGAATCCGTCATGCAAGCTATCTTCTTCTTTTTGATGATTGCTTTCTTCAAATGCCAAAATTTGTTCAAATCTTTTACGTTTACCTATGTTGTACGGTAGTAGGCATTTGTATTCTTAAAATTTAACAATATTTTTCTTGCAAGCAGATAAACGATACTGTGGGAACCTTGGCTCTTGGTCATTATCATGATGAAGACACAGTTGTTGCTGTGATTATTGGGACAGGCACCAATGCCTGTTATTTGGAGCGAGCAGATGCAATTATTAAGTGTCAAGGTCTTCTTACAACACTGGGAGACATGGTATCCTTGAGTTTTGGTTAATGTATTATTTTTGGTTATATGTTGTACATTTGCTTATGATTTCTATTTGTTTTACTGTGTTTTATTATAATATATTGTCACTAGGTAGTCAACATGGAATGGGGAAATTTTTGGTCATCTCATTTACCCCGAACATCATATGATATTGACTTGGATGCTGATAGCCCAAATCCAAATGATCAGGTGATGTTTGGCCTCTACTGCATCTCTTCAAATACAACAATGTCTTAGTTTCACATTTGGCTCAATGAATTGGTTCGTGACATTGACGAGAGGACCATGCTGCAGGGTTTTGAAAAAATGATATCAGGGATGTATCTGGGTGACATTGTGCGTAGAGTAATTCTTCGGATGTCAGAGGAGCTGGATGTTTTTGGACCAGTATCTTCTAAATTGCAAGTCCCTTTCATCTTGAGGTCGTTTTCTTGTTGATATTCTTTTTATATCTCTGTCTTAATCAGCGTGTGGAGATGAATGTATAGACTCACTGAAGATATTGTTGATGAACGCTCTACCAGTTCATGTTAATTTATAACTGGAAGGAAAGCCACTAAAGATTTTTCTAGATGTACCATCTTCTAGAATATCTAAATATAGGATATAGGATTCACCATTTTGGCAATTATATGATTTAGAATAGACACTTTTGAGTTTGAGCTTAGCTTTTCAAAGGTGTTCTTATTGTGATTTTTAGGTAAATCACTTGAACGTGTTCCCTTGTGACATATATTGAGTGATGATCGTCATGAACAAGAGCTTTATAAAAGTAGGTATGGAGTTCGTATAATGTTGTCTTATTTATGTTAAGCCATGCAAGATAATTGCAAAGAATATGATGCAAGTGGTAATTTGTCCAAATCAGCTTCGTGTACTACTTAAGATTACGTTATAAAGAGCAAGTATCTTGCTTACATTGGTAAAGAAAAAGGTAAATGAAAATCACGTGGGAAAATGTACTACTNAAAGGTCATTTCAAAAGCGATTCTTCCCTTACTCTTAAAGTAACTAACTTATTTTCACTTCTGTGTTTCAAAATATTTCTTAAGTATTTAGTAGTGAACTTTATAAATTTAGCCCTACTCCTCTTAGTAAAAATCCCTATCATAGCATTGATCACTATTGTTTCTTGGTGACTTCCACTTTCAGTTCCCTGACGTTCCTTTAAACGTTCGGAAGCTCATTGTGAGGGTATGTGACGTGGTGACCCGAAGAGCAGCAAGATTGGCAGCTGCAGGTATTATTGGAATATTGAAAAAGATTGGTCGGGATGGTAGTGGTGGAATAGCTAGGGGGAAAAATGAAGGTGCAAGCCGTAGTAAGATGAGCCGAACTGTAGTGGCAGTCGAGGGGGGTTTGTATACGAACTATACATTGTTCAGGGAATATCTGAATGAAGCAATGTCACAAATACTAGGCGAGGAGATTGCACCGAGTGTCATCATCAAGGTGATGGAAGATGGATCGGGCATTGGAGCAGCTCTCTTAGCTGCATCTCATTCGACCTCCAGTGTGGATACCATACAGATACCGTAAATGTAAGAATACACATATATATCTGGGTCCTGTAGAAATGTAGAAATCATATACATATCTTATTTATCGCAGAAAAATGGTAGTGGTGTTCATGTTATCATATAGTAGTAGGTTGATCTGATAGGTGGGCAGTTTCCAAATGTTCTGATTCAGTTTATAGTCTTGATTAATTGGTTTTACTGTCATTTTTCCTTTTAGTCTGTATAGTTGCAGTGTAACAACGGGTGAATTATTAACTTCTATTCTATTAATTCATTTATATGTTATCAGGATTTGGCATATAGTTGCTTGTTTATGCTGTCAGCCGCCATTATTTTCGTCGTCCTGACCAACTCATAGCCTCTTGCTCCCAGTTAGGAGGGACGACTGACAAGTCGACTTTTGGAAGGCATGGCTTGTGGGTTTATCCTATTTTATTTTTATAAATCCTACATCTTTGCCATCAATATCTAGGCCTGCAAAAGATGGGAGGAAAATCATCTCTGCTAAGATATCGTCAATACTGGAATGGTATTCACGGAAGGAAATAATACCTTTCCAATCTTGGTTTGGTTACTTGCAGACCAAGAAATCCATTAATGCAGTAAATAATATTATTGATTCCAGAAAATTTTCGAGCTTGATTTGTTAATGGATTTCTAGGTTAGATATATTTTTCAACTAAAATTTTAGATTTGGATTTAGATACAGCTAACGTAGCCAAAATCGTTTCAAAATTTATTGACGGCAAAGATATTTTAAAGAACATAGACCCTTCTATATTATTACAATTCGCCTCGTAACAATATAATTTTCCGATGATATCGTCATTCTCGTTTTTAATAGGCTCGTTTCATCAATATTCGCAAAAACTAGCTTCACATGCTAATAATGAATAATAAACATGTCTATTTCGGTCATCCCATCAAATACAGATTTTATCGCATCTGGAGTCCTATTGCCAAATCTCCAATGGCAAAACAACAAATTTCTGCAAATCTAACCACCACCATACATGTAGCCCTTATTTAGCTTCCATTAATTTTCATTCCATTACATTTCATTTTTCTTTTTCTTATTTTCAACCACACAATTTTTTATAAAATAATACTATACGTAAATCGAAATTTTTTCCTTCTTTTTCAACCACTCATTTAAAAAAATATATATATATTATTCCACTCATTTTCATTTTTACAAAATGGGAGCCAAACAAGGGTGTAAAGTTGTGAAATTTAATTATTACCACTATGTAAAATTGAATTAGGTCGTAGTCTCACATTGAGACGAATCTCTATAAACTGTATATTCTTTATGTTTTTTCCTCATCGAGATTTTATCTTTCTTGTTGGTATAGAATTAAGGTTTCTAATTCTCAACAATATAAATTGTCTTCCTCTCTGTATAAAGCTGTACGATGATCGCGCTCTAAATTTTACAAGGAAAATCCCCTTCTTACATAAATAGTTTGATCACTATTTGTAAGCCCAGCATCAAGCATCATCTCTAATCCCTTGATTATCATAAACAACAAGCCTTCAAAATTGTCTTCCAAAGATCTAGCATCATTTAAAGAAAGATACAGCCTAAATACCTAGGCAGTCAAGCACTCAAGAATGCTAAGCTTATTACTTTGAAGATGTGAGCTCTCTCACATTGTACTTGGCCAATTCCTTGTACTTCTCAACAATCCCAATCAAGCATATGGTCTGCAAGAGAAATTATAATCAGTTGAGCAGGTTTGGCTAATAAGTTTACTCATAACAAATAAATTTCTCAAGCAAGGAAGCATTTCCAAGTAAATTTTTTTATCTGATTGATTAAAGTTGGAATAGGTTACTTATTTTGACTCGTAAGAATCAATTTCAAAATATGTAACTTCTTTTTTACTTAAATACACAAAAAAGTTACTTCAGAAATTAAATTTTACAATTTTTTAAGCTTCACGAAACATTGCTTTAGTGCAGCGAATACTTTTTACCGTTGACAAGCAATTCACCCAAGCAATATCGCAAGAAAATCCTGAGCTATAGCCCTAAAGCAAATGGGGATAGATTTTCAAAGGATTTTTATTTTTATTTTCATATTCATTATTCTATTCCATTAGTCATTACTTATATGATGCTAAAATCCAAAAGCGCAGTAATTGGTCCGGACTCTGAGAAAAGGCAATTAAAACAAATAAAAAGCATACACCAAAGACATTGAAAATGTTAACAATTCAGTTCAAAGTATATAGAATTCTTTTCTTACTTTGACAATTTGCACAACTATGCTCACATCTGGGTTGCTAAGATCAACTTTGTGAGCTGACGGAACAGATTTCGCAACTGCGTCGATGATTTTTGTTCTGTCAACACCAGTATTTGCACGAGCATCATAGAGTACCGCAAACTGCAATAGAATATTTATGAACACGAGTTATTTTCAGTTTTCACCCATTATAACTGCATAAACCAGCTCAAACGGCATCAACTAGGAACATAATCAATTTCCGTATGTTTTATAATTTTTGTTAACTATATGAAACTATCTCTAGATAGGGTAAACTGCCTTTACTACTACTAAAAATAGAATGCTTCTTTCTCTAAGTCACGAAGGATTTCGCATTTCAAATCCAAAATCTGATTAGTGAGACACAGAAGACCCCATACATACATGAAGTATAAAGTCAAACTGCAATCTATCTATATATGGCAAAAAATTCAACCAATCCAATAAAAGTGGGAACTGGAAAGTCACACCCTCCGAAGGACATGAAAAGGAAAAAAGAGTCTCACATTCACTCTATTCATGCTTTATGGACAAATCTAGAATATTTTGCAATAAAAAAAGGAAACAAATTATTATGGGTATAACATCAAGGTGAATCAAAGGGTTTTGTTATATTTGATTTATGCATATACACAATGGCTTGAGGAAATAATCTATGATTATGACTAATTGACTAGGTAAATGATTTAATTTCCACAGGAGTTGTAAGACAAAAAAGGAAAACCTAACAACCTAATATATATACACATTTACGCCGCCCCCTTTTTCTATGTATGCATAAATCAAATATAACAAGGATTCACCACGTTTTCTTATAACAAAGGGAAGAATATAAACTTTGCCTTATAAAATTTATTTGACCAACGCTAAAGTAAATCTTTTCTTCCTCACATCAAATCCCATTACCTACTGTTCAGGCTAACAAATTAACTTTAGGAAATTTGCATAGAGGTCTTTCAACTATGGGTAAAAAACCAATTTGGTCCCTAAGCTTTCAGATTTCTATAGTAAGGTCCTAATTCCAAAAAGTCTAATAGTGGAATTTTGGGGTGTTACATGGTTACTCAACTTTCAAGGAACTTTCTTTTTAGTCACCGACTTTTTTTGTTCCAACTTGGTCGCTCAACTTTCAGTTCTATTCAATTGCGTCATGATGTCAGCTTCTGTTAGTAAAATTAATGGACTGCTCATTGTGGCAAACAGAAGATACGACGCGGTGCATTGCCATGTCGGACAATCCATTATTTTACTTATATGCATCTTTAAGTTTTTTGGAAGTCAAGAATATCATAATGGTATTGTGTTTACCTTAAGCGGGTTCTGAGTTTCTATGGGAAAAAACTGTTCAATGACCGGTTTGATTGCTCTTCTGATTTCTTCATCAGATGCATAGCATGTTATTTCAATTGGAAGCACTCTTAGCAGGAACCTGGTCAAATCCATCATGTTGTTAGTGTTGGACCCCTTTAGTGAATAAAAAATAAAATGACTATACTGAGAGGTTACTTAGAACAAAAAGATCTGTTGAGAGATAAACCTTGACACATGTTTCCTAGTTGAAGCCAGAGACGTCATCATGTGTTGGACAATATCTTTTGGGCAGGGATCTCCATCTCTTTTACGCATTTGTACAAAGACAACACCATTACACCCTGAGTCAAGGCTGCTGAAGCGCCTCTGTTTCGAAGAGAACAGCAATAAATATATGTATGAACAGTAGAAAGCACATCAGCATATATCGAAATTCAGTATGAGAATGTAATTTATGAAGTAAAAGCCCAATAAGAATAAGAACTTATATGCTTTCATTCATTGATTTTCTAGAAATAATAACACAAAAAGTTGTCTATCTAATAAGATTTTTATGTTCTTAGAAAAGAAATGCTTAGAAAGTACATTATAGAGCATTGGTATAAGTAAACAATCAAAAAGAAATTAAAAATTTTCATGAAAAAAGAGATAATAAAGGATGTGCCATACATTTATTTGTAATGAGCACGTGAAGGATCAAAATATTGCAGTCTAGAAGCTGTCTTTCAACTAACCTTGCTTCTGTCTCCTAATTCTGCAAGCTCGTCTTCAATAAGCCTATCAACAGATTTCTTTTCTAACTTATTTGATAAGTCTCGACACTTTGATGCATCATTTTCTGTACGTTGCTTCTTAGCTGCTGCTGACTCAATAGCTATAACTTCTTGGTCATCAGTTTTCTCTTTATTTTCATGTGCTTGCTTCTCACTCGATATGCCATCCTCCTTTTGATGTCCTGACTCTTCTTTTATAAGATTTTCATTATTTACATCAGTGCCTGTTGCAATAGCATGTTTGTTTTCTTCCTCCTTTGGTCGAACATTGCTCTCATCCTCATGATGATCATCGTTGTCATCATCATCACTGCTGGAGGAATCAGAGTACGTGAATTTGATTACTTTATTCAAGGGCTTCTTAGATAATTCTGCTTGTTCACTTGTTGTCTCTGTCCCATTTACAAGATCTTCATAGAACTGTCTCAAAAAACAAACATAATGTAAGTGTGACTTCATTCCAGCTCCTAACAAAGAAAAGAAAAAAAGAAAAAAGACGAAAAAGAAATCAATACACTTCATGACCCGAAGCTGAAAGCTATTTCATGTAGTCTTTTGCCACACATTCTGATCACAAAATACAATAACAGCGGGAGCTAAAAGTAACATAATTGAACACCAAAAGATACTGCATTGTACTAGGGACTATGGGTTTCCACGGGCAGCAAAGTATTTTCTCCTTTGGCGTACAATTATCAAGCAAAATACCAGGGTTATTTTTTTTGGGCTTACGAATTATCACTCTCAAGTTCTCTCTTCCACTGCTAACTCACAGTTTAGTGTAAATGAAATCTTAAAAGTCAAGCCCACTTTCCCTTCACGGGATTGTAAGTAATTATATAAACACAGCATAGACTGCTAAGAATCACTCACATCCCAGGGTTTTGTTATATTTGATTTATGCATATACACAATGGCTTGAGGAAATAATCTATGATTATGACTAATTGACTAGGTAAATGATTTAATTTCCACAGGAGTTGTAAGACAAAAAAGGAAAACCTAACAACCTAATATATATACACATTTACGCCGCCCCCTTTTTCTATGTATGCATAAATCAAATATAACAAGGATTCACCACGTTTTCTTATAACAAAGGGAAGAATATAAACTTTGCCTTATAAAATTTATTTGACCAACGCTAAAGTAAATCTTTTCTTCCTCACATCAAATCCCATTACCTACTGTTCAGGCTAACAAATTAACTTTAGGAAATTTGCATAGAGGTCTTTCAACTATGGGTAAAAAACCAATTTGGTCCCTAAGCTTTCAGATTTCTATAGTAAGGTCCTAATTCCAAAAAGTCTAATAGTGGAATTTTGGGGTGTTACATGGTTACTCAACTTTCAAGGAACTTTCTTTTTAGTCACCGACTTTTTTTGTTCCAACTTGGTCGCTCAACTTTCAGTTCTATTCAATTGCGTCATGATGTCAGCTTCTGTTAGTAAAATTAATGGACTGCTCATTGTGGCAAACAGAAGATACGACGCGGTGCATTGCCATGTCGGACAATCCATTATTTTACTTATATGCATCTTTAAGTTTTTTGGAAGTCAAGAATATCATAATGGTATTGTGTTTACCTTAAGCGGGTTCTGAGTTTCTATGGGAAAAAACTGTTCAATGACCGGTTTGATTGCTCTTCTGATTTCTTCATCAGATGCATAGCATGTTATTTCAATTGGAAGCACTCTTAGCAGGAACCTGGTCAAATCCATCATGTTGTTAGTGTTGGACCCCTTTAGTGAATAAAAAATAAAATGACTATACTGAGAGGTTACTTAGAACAAAAAGATCTGTTGAGAGATAAACCTTGACACATGTTTCCTAGTTGAACCCAGAGACGTCATCATGTGTTGGACAATATCTTTTGGGCAGGGATCTCCATCTCTTTTACGCATTTGTACAAAGACAACACCATTACACCCTGAGTCAAGGCTGCTGAAGCGCCTCTGTTTCGAAGAGAACAGCAATAAATATATGTATGAACAGTAGAAAGCACATCAGCATATATCGAAATTCAGTATGAGAATGTAATTTATGAAGTAAAAGCCCAATAAGAATAAGAACTTATATGCTTTCATTCATTGATTTTCTAGAAATAATAACACAAAAAGTTGTGTATCTAATAAGATTTTTATGTTCTTAGAAAAGAAATGCATAGAAAGTACATTATAGAGCATTGGTATAAGTAAACAATCAAAAAGAAATTAAAAAATTTCATGAAAAAAGAGATAATAAAGGATGTGCCATACATTTATTTGTAATGAGCACGTGAAGGATCAAAATATTGCAGTCTAGAAGCTGTCTTTCAACTAACCTTGCTTCTGTCTCCTAATTCTGCAAGCTCGTCTTCAATAAGCCTATCAACAGATTTCTTTTCTAACTTATTTGATAAGTCTCGACACTTTGATGCATCATTTTCTGTACGTTGCTTCTTAGCTGCTGCTGACTCAATAGCTATAACTTCTTGGTCATCAGTTTTCTCTTTATTTTCATGTGCTTGCTTCTCACTCGATATGCCATCCTCCTTTTGATGTCCTGACTCTTCTTTTATAAGATTTTCATTATTTACATCAGTGCCTGTTGCAATAGCATGTTTGTTTTCTTCCTCCTTTGGTCGAACATTGCTCTCATCCTCATGATGATCATCGTTGTCATCATCATCACTGCTGGAGGAATCAGAGTATGTGAATTTGATTACTTTATTCAAGGGCTTCTTAGATAATTCTGCTTGTTCACTTGTTGTCTCTGTCCCATATACAAGATCTTCATAGAACTGTCTCAAAAAACAAACATAATGTAAGTGTGACTTCATTCCAGCTCCTAACAAAGAAAAGAAAAAAAGAAAAAAGATGAAAAAGAAATCAATACACTTCATGACCCGAAGCTGAAAGCTATTTCATGTAGTCTTTTGCCACACATTCTGATCACAAAATACAATAACAGCGGGAGCTAAAAGTAACATAATTGAACACCAAAAGATACTGCATTGTACTAGGGACTATGGGTTTCCACGGGCAGCAAAGTATTTTCTCCTTTGGCGTACAATTATCAAGCAAAATACCAGGGTTATTTTTTTTGGGCTTACGAATTATCACTCTCAAGTTCTCTCTTCCATTGCTAACTCACAGTTTAGTGTAAATGAAATCTTAAAAGTCAAGCCCACTTTCCCTTCACGGGATTGTAAGTAATTATATAAACACAGCATAGACTGCTAAGAATCACTCACATCCCAAACTCTTTTTCCACGAAGAGGGGTCGGTAAAAACATTGACAATTAATTAAAAACAACTAAAAATACAGAAATTTCTGCATATTTAACAAACAGACACAGATATATTACAAATACCCATATCAGTAATTAAAGTATAACAATCAAAGACTAAATCTTTAGCACCAGAAGGAAACGAAAAACAAAAAAGGGAAAATTTATACATACGGAGTCAATAACATTAATGGCTTCGTTTGAGGCTTGGTGTTCCCTTCCACCATCACACGTTATAAAGAACCCCTGTACTCCTGGGCACAATGCGTATTTCCCCTTTTTCACTGGCCTCTAAAATATTCAACAAAAATAGAGAGACAACAGAAATTATTTTCACAAATTCATAGAAAAAAGCATATCTACTATGGTTGAGTGAAGAATACATTGTGCGGAAGATACTGCTTCCTTTTCTTGTCAGTTTTGTTAGGATTGTTTGGCTTCGATTTGTTTTCAGTTGCCATTGAAATTGAATTGAAACACAGCAGAAAACGGTGAACGGTGATTCTATGAAGGTGTTTATTTCCACGAATTCTGAGTTGGACAGCGAGTTGGACTGGTATTGGTTTGGGCTCAGGCCCAAGATTGTGTGGCCCATTTCATTTTGTCAACTTGATTTTGGGATAAGTTTTGATGTACATAAAGGACACATGAAAAGTATGTAGTGCAGGCGGGATAGATGAAGGAATGTGTTGGAATGCATGAAATGAAAGGAGGCTAATGAGAGTGCTGGTCTAGTAGAGAGAGCAAATAATTAGAGAATTATGTCGAAATGAATACTTTAAGATTTTAAGATATAATAAAGTTAGTTCCAAAAACTATGTAGAAGTAAGATTTAGTCTTTCCTAGACGTATGTGGTGGCGGTTAGAAACCCACGAACCTATTCCCCCTTCCTACAATGTACTCATGACGTCAAGTCATCACGCCCCTTGTGCCTTGGGTGACACTCGTGCTACAATGGCCGGGAAAGGAAGAGCTGCGGTACGGCCCGGACTCCATTTCTTAGGAAGGAATGCGGGCCAGAGAGCGCGAGGACAAGGAAAGGGCTTCCCCTTATTCCATTCCATTGGATGGAATGCGGGGGTATGGGTCTAGCTTATTGATACGTTCCAGAAAACTCTACTTGAATCCATTTTCTTTTTTTATCGACAAAATCCGTGCTCCAAAAAGAAAAATAAACGATGAATAAGTGAGTGATATTCATAAATCCTACATAATATATAAATGAAAAGTGATTTTATTGATTGTAATTAATTTATAAACCTAGTCGAATAATATTTTTGGGAAAAATTATAATCTCTTTATAATTTAAAGTCAAAGTCAGACATTAATTTTAATCAATATGCACAATTATAACTTCTGTCAAATGACCGCTTAAATTTAAAAATAAAAAAATATTTTAATCAACAAAAATTATTTTAATTTGCAATTATTATTTAAAAGTTTAGGTAATGGAAACAAAACCAAATGGTTCGATTCCAATTTGTTTCCATATCTTTAAAATAATAATAATCATTGATTCTATTATCAAAAAATCATTGATTCTTGGTTTGGTTCTTTTATCTTGGAGTCAAAAATAAAATGGAACCATGTCCATTCTTGAACAAAACTTAAATAAAAACATCCATACCCTTCAAATATCTTACAATATCGCAAGAAAATTTAATTATATAGTTGACCTCATTTATCCTCGAAAGTTGAGAATCTATATATGCATTTATATTTGAAATTTTGCTTAACATAGCTTGACACCCTTGTAAGAATTTTAGGCTATCCAATATTTGTCGGATATTAACATAACCACTTTCAATAATTAAACATAAAATCTTTAACAAGATCTCGGGATGATTGATTTTAAGTAATCTAACAAAAAAAAATTGTGCAAGAACATGTACCCATTATTCATTTGCACGAGACGAAATAATTAGTGATAATCCAACAACTCCCACCATCAAAATCTTGATAATGAACACCTAGGATCCATGAACTTGCCCAAATTAGTTTCTTTTCAGGTTATTTTATGTGTCCCATCCATCACCTCAATCCATATGAGGAATAGAATTAAACTAAAGTGACAAAAAATGGATAATAGAAGGTACGATAGCCTCTCACTTGTGTGGGACTCGCGTAAATAATAAATGTAAAAAAAAATAAAAAAGGATGTGGGACAGTCCCCTATTGTGAGTGTCAGTCAGCATCTTCTTAGGAATATAGCACCATCCAAAAAAATGGGACCCACCCGATTCATCCTCCTTGTTCTCGCATATGCTCCAAGAGACAGGCAAAAACATAGTCAAAAGGAAGTCATACAAGAGAGATTTGTGAGAAGAGAAGAAGAAAAGTGACATCAAAGGTTCATAAAAACTTATCATTTAGAATTTGGAGAACCCACAATGCTCATCTTCTTTAGGGCAAACTCTGGCCCATTCAAGCTGTCCTCTCATGGTGCAATGCATCTGCTTAATTCACTTCTTTGTATTAAGAAATAAAGTTATGATATATAGGGTGATAATATTTTTGGTTCCAATCTATAGTCTATTGAGTAAATTGGTCCTCAAATTTTTATTCCCAAACCAAAAAAGTCCAAGTCTTTGTAAAATCTCTACCAACTCTATACTGTTTCTCAACTTGTGCGAATATTAAGAAATTCGAAGTGAAACATGTTTCTATGCAGTGTGTGTGACAATTTAACTAAGGTGTGGATGGTTTCTATCATTGGAGACTTGTTACACAACTATAAATGAAATGTTAAAAGCAAATTGTTATCGAAACAATATGTTGGTGATCCAATGGATATTGTAAATAATATTTGTGGTTGATTGGGATGTCGTACTCAATCATTTACTTGATGAATTGGCAACATCCATGAGATTGAGAGTTTGCATTATTTTGTAGGTTTCACTTTTCTTTATCGACATGGATCTGTCAAGAGCTTCTTGTTATAGAAGTTTGTTGCATCTCAAATTCTAAGCGCCAAGCCCTTCTTTTTTCTTTTTTTTTTAAAGTTAACTTTGAACGAAATTTAGGGTCAATTTTGCAGTGTTTTGAAGTTTAAAACTATTTTTGGTACTAAAAAGTTATTTTTGGATCCGTTGGGTCAATTTTTTTTTGCAAGTGCTTTCTCGAGTTAGAAGAGTTCATGAAGCTAGCCCAATTTAATATCCTCACAAACTTGTTTAATAGAAAGAAGTGGTAGTAGAAACCTGCCAAACGAGCCCTTACTTAGCCATGCTCAAATAGTATTTTATTTTTCTGTGTAAGAAATTCTAAAATTGAATTAAGCTACAAAGCTTGAAAGGTGACCAAAAAATGGAATTAAGATAGAATGGAAGTTCCTTTCATCTACATATACTAATGTCCAAATTCAACCCCTCATTAGAGTCTATGGCAAGATAGGGTTGAAAGGCAAGTTAGAACAATTTTAAGTTATGTGCAATGGCTAAGTCTATAGCCCCGATTTCAATAGTTGTGTATTCTTCGTAGTCAAAATTTTGAAAAGGTAACTCATGCAAAAAAGAAACATGGAAGAGATATGAAATAGTTGGATATGATTCCATTCCATCGACATATCTTTTGATTTATCATTAGATAGGGAGGATGCCTAATAGATAACTGGTTGGCTAATGCGCAACCTAAGTAGACATAAAGCACACACACAGATAGACAAAACTAGAAGACGTTGATTGTCATAATAATTTCAAGCATGATCGTGGAGAATCAATCTCTAGACTCATGATCAAGTCCAATACCTAGTTTGCCTAGTAGCTGAACCTAGTTTACCTAGTAGCTGAAGACTAGCTTAATTCGCTACCATCGAGTGAGCCAATTTACATCAAGAAATTCTCAGCAAAATAGAGATTGTGATCACATGGAGAAACTCAACGATCAAACAATTCCCAATAATGGTCCTTGCAGATCATCCATTTAATATATAAAAAGAAACTCCAAATATTTGATATCTTTCTCTTTGAATAAGATCTCAATTCTAACGATGATTTCATTAGATATCTTACAACTAGAATCCCTATTTTTTTCAATTTTATTGTAGAGCCGTATGCAATGCACAAAAGATAACGTGTGTGCGGTTGTTCAATTCTATCTTCTTTTTTAAATTAGAAGTTGTAAAACAAATGAAAGAAGAAAGATGTAGATAAATGAGAGAATGAGAGAAAAAGAATATTAATGATATAGAATTCCAAACCTGTAAAATGGACGATATTCTAGGATTCCTCTTCGAGGCAAATACTTTTATTCATACCTCTTCTGGTTCTTGAATTATCTCTTTAACTATTTCTTTAATTTGTTTTTGTATTTAACGTGGCTTTTTTGTTTTCTTTATTATTGAATTGATAGGAATTATCTTTTTGTTAAGATCCAGGATGATCCTATTTGATCAAATACCTAGCGACAAACTCCTAGGTTCCTTTCATTACGATATTTATGAACAAGTTCTTGGATAACGAGCCTAGCGACTGGCTGTTAACCGATTGGTCGTAGCTTTTATAGGTGGCTTTTTAAGTCCACCGTCAAATCCCAAGGTTCAACCTTGGACATAGGCTAACAAGAAAGACAAAATTGGGGATTCGTTGGGAATTCCTACATTTATTTGAAAACTATAGCTAGAAACAACTGCTAATACTCCGTAGGCTGAGGAACGAAAGGAGGGATCCGCTCAAGGAAGGGCTTGCATCTGATTAGCTAAGTAGATACAAAAGGAATTTAAGTATAAATTGCAAGATGTATCAAAGAAAAAGAAATTGCACGTATCGAATGGATCAGAGAAGGTAAGGTTTCCCTACAAACCATTAAAGCTAAAAATTGATTATTGTTCTTATATAGTTCGAACTATCTATGAGGTCTTGAGATACAATGAAGACGGAGTGGGGCCTGTAGCTCAAAGAATTAGAACATGTGGCTACGATATGTTGACTATCTAAAAATATTTAAGATTTAGGGCCTGTTTGATTTCCATTCTTTAGTCACAAAAATGAAAAATATGATCGTTATCCATCACATCAAACCACCATATTTGACTTTTTTTTCTTTTGTGTGGGTCCTATGACGATTTTCATTCTCATTCTTAAGAAAATGGGAATCAAACGAGCTTTTACTATACTAATAATATTAGAATTGTGTAAAGAAACCCAAATTTTATATTGCTACATTAATGGTTATGTTCTAGCATATTTAATATTTATTTGAAATTATATTTTATCATTTTCTATATGGTGACTTTGAATCCAAGAACCAATGGTATTTGGATAGCAGTGCTAGCAATCACATGATAGGATATAAAGATATTTTTATAGAGATCAATCCGAGGGATTGCACCAAAAATTCTAGTTCTTTTTGGATTTCCTTCTTGATCAATCCAGTATGATTCAAATCTACGACCAATCGATTAACAGCTAAAGACTCTATCACTAATTGGGTTTACATACAATTACATTGATCTTAGTAAAAGGTGCTTTAGATGCACGCGATTCCAAATTAATGTCAGATAAAAAAAGATTCCGATTATAGTTTTTCATGCGATGCCTCAAGAGGAGAACCTTGGACATAGAAGAGTTCCAAATCGAATCTCTTTAGAAAGATTTTTTTTTGTTTCATGGTAGCCTGCTCCAATCCCCTTACGACATGGGGGTGAAAAAAGGAAAGAGGGAGATGGGGTTTCTCTCACTTTTGGCATAGCGGACCCCCACTGAGAGGTTTGCATGACGGGCTATTAACTCAATGGTTGAGGTGACAAAGGAATCATACCCATTTGAGCCATTTTCTTATACTTTTCTCGGAAGTTTGGAAAAAGCTGCAATCAAGAGGATCATGATTCACAAAAGTTAGAACATTGATAGCTATAAATAGCGATTGTTCAACTCACTTGCACATGTATCGCACTAATATTTATCAAACGCAAATTGAAACATTGTTGTCGATATTAAATTTTTGACATGTATAGAGCCAAGATGAGAATTTACTAAAGTGATGATGACAAATGAATTCTGTTATTCAAACAAGGGCTATTGACAACAATTCAAATCAAGGGCTGAGGTGCATCCACCTTGCCCACTGTTTAAATTTTCTCTCCATAGTCCTGTTTGAGTAGCATTAGTGGTGACAAATTGGACAAACTTTTGCTAATAATAGAGTTGTACGTGTCCCTACACCTTTGGAGTCAATTAATGGAAATGTCTACTCAGTTGATCAATGTTTGGTTACTATTAAGCCCTGACAAGTAAAGACATCCACTCAAGAAAAATAAATAAATAAATAACGAGTTCTCAAATAAAAACAAAAAAAATTAAAGGTAGAAAAGAGACATGCCATGAAAAAAATATACATAAGTTGCAACTCCTATCAATTTAATGCAAGACAAGAGTCTGTTTGTAAATAATAACACACAGTTTCCTCAGTTACACATCCTTGTTGGAAATCGAAAATATTCATGGTTGGCTACAATACTGATAGCATAAAAAATAAATAATAATCTTGTCTATTCAAGATAAAATAATCACTAGGGCGACGAATAACAATAGAAATCTTTAAAATTATTTATTTGCAATGAACATCACTAAAAAAGATATAAAAAGTTTAATTAATCAATAATTGGTTAAATTCCCACAAGTGTGAGAGGAGATACAATTGTGTATAACTTTTGAAATCTGCAAATTTTTTCACCAAGTCTGGTTTGTTTTGGTACGTAGAAGGGGGAAAATTTTTGGGGCATCTTCAAGTGTTCCTTGGCCATTGCCAAGAGGGATAATTGCCAAAACCGTGGTCTAATGGACCAAATTGAGATGAAGCAATTCCCTCATATCCTTCCTTTTCCATCTTCTGCATCTTCAATGCCTGGCACTCCTTTGCTTGCTGCAAGGCGTACAGAATAACACGTTAAACATCATCTTACAACCGTAAAAAACTGGCAATTTTGAGATTATTAGGGTTGTAAGAAGGACCTGCATTGCTTCAAAGGTGTCTGTTTCTGAGTTGAAGTCATAAAACGTGCTTGCCACAGTAAGCTTCATAGAAAGAAACTGAATATCAAAAAGTACAAGTGAATTATTATCAGGTGTCTATGATTTTCAGACAGAATTTACTGATTTAGTATAAAGTTATTTTATGGTTTAAACTTCCCCTTACCTCAACTTGACTTTGCAAGGAATGCACATAATTGATGATCTTCTCCAACATCATTGCCATGCCCATTGTCTGTCATTTTATTAAGCATTAATGACAAGGTACAAATGAACATTGTTGAAAAGTAACAGCAAACATTAATAACAACACAATTTCAATCGTTCGCAACGTGCATTCCTTGTTGCCGTATCCATCTACTCTATGGCAACGTCAAACTCATTTAGAATGGGATTCCAACTCAGCACCTTTTGAGTGAGATCTTGAGAAGAGTTGTTATTTGGAGAGCATGGTACCATGAAATCTAAAGACTTACGACAACGCATTCTGCCCATTGCAAAAAAGTCATTTTTTTGTAGTGTCTGCTACACTCCATAAATCCATATAACTAGAGAGGCGTGCACTTATATGCAAGGATAAAAAGAACAATCACCTTATAGCATCCAGGAACAATGTCTTGTAAACATCTCAATCGATCGTTGATTTTTTCTCTTCTCACCTGATACATTAATCTACTATATTACTAATGATCATGAGTACTATATTATATCAGGGGACGTAGGCGCACGTAGAAATGCTCGAGGGAAAGGACAGAACTTACCCTCTCTGCTAAACTGTGACTATCAGTAGCCTGACCTCTTTTAGCTCTAACATGTACCACATCCTTTGGTTTCTCCTCTTCCTTTTCGTTTAATTTCACTTTTTTCCCTTTTCCTGCACACTGCAAACAGAAAGAAAATCCCATGAATTCATATTCACAAAGCTCAAGCTGGAAAACGCAAATGAACAAACACAATCTTCTTACATTTTTCCTTGTATCAACGTTTGCAGAACCTTGAGCAGATGAATAAGCACCACTACTTTGTGGGGTGTCAATTTCTTTCCTCTTCTTTCCTGCACGATGATCATTTGCAGTTTGAGGCACCAAATTCTTCTCCTCATGAATAAACAAACTCGGAAAATCTTCTGAGATTCCTGTACATTCGTTTATTAACTCGGGAAAAATATTGTCACTGGGAAATCCCATCAAATTCTGCAAGTTCAAGATTGACGTATCCTGATAAATTGGATTTATTTCTGGAAAATTGTTCATAAATTCCATGTTGGAATTAATGTCTGATGATGGGAAAGACTTTTGAATGTTTTGCAAATAGTAATCAGCCATAAGCAGCTTTTTTAAGTTTTAGCTAATGGCTTTGTTTTGTAAATGTATGTAGGCTTCGATGATTTATATATAGAGAGAGTGGGGCAAGATAACAGTTTTTCCTTTTTATCAAAGAATTTTAAAAAAAATAAAAAATTGCAATTTCAGGTAGCCACGTGGCCTTTTGAGCTTATGGTTTTGTTCCCTTGTGGGCCATGCTCAGGAGATATATCCAAAATGTGGGTCTTTATCATTGGCCATTGGATTTCAATGGGATTAAATTAATCTCAGTGTCAGAGAAGATAATCAAGAATGGAGGAAAAGGGATAATGCCTAACAAAAATTATGTTCAAACACTGACCAAGTTCAAGTTATGACTTCTAGTCTAAGTGTGTAATTATTTCTCCTTCAACTTCACAAATTATATTATTATTCGTATGGTTGAGACTCTGAATGCACTAAGAAAAGGAAAAGTATGTTTGATGACGATGTTGTTCTCGACTTATCATATCAAAGATTGATTATCACAAGATCAACTTCCATCCTTCATGATTAATAGGGATAGTGTAAATTCACGAGCATATTTGTAAGTTGTCTCGTCAATCTTGTTTGATAAAACGTGATAACACTATCGAGGGTGACAATAAGAATGTGTAGTTGAAAAGAAGAGAGAGAAAAATGCATTTTGAAAAAAATGGGTACCAAAGGGGCTATATTGAGGAACTTATGCGCACGTAGAAATGCTTGAGGGAAAGGGCAGAACTTACCCTCTCTGCTAAACTGTGACTATCAGTAGCCTGACCTCTTTTAGCTCTAACATGTACCACATCCTTTGGTTTCTCCTCTTCCTTTTCGTTTAATTTCACTTTTTTCCCTTTTCCTGCACACTGCAAACAGAAAGAAAATCCCATGAATTCATATTCACAAAGCTCAAGCTGGAAAACGCAAATGAACAAACACAATCTTCTTACATTTTTCCTTGTATCAACGTTTGCAGAACCTTGAGCAGATGAATAAGCACCACTACTTTGTGGGGTGTCAATTTCTTTCCTCTTCTTTCCTGCACGATGATCATTTGCAGTTTGAGGCACCAAATTCTTCTCCTCATGAATAAACAAACTCGGAAAATCTTCTGAGATTCCTGTACATTCGTTTATTAACTCGGGAAAAATATTGTCACTGGGAAATCCCATCAAATTCTGCAAGTTCAAGATTGACGTATCCTGATAAATTGGATTTATTTCTGGAAAATTGTTCATAAATTCCATGTTGGAATTAATGTCTGATGATGGGAAAGACTTTTGAATGTTTTGCAAATAGTAATCAGCCATAAGCAGCTTTTTTAAGTTTTAGCCAATGGCTTTGTTTTGTAAATGTATGTAGGCTTCAATGATTTATATATAGAGAGAGTGGGGCAAGATAACAGTTTTTCCTTTTTATCAAAGAATTTTAAAAAAAATAAAAAATTGCAATTTCAGGTAGCCACGTGGCCTTTTGAGCTTATGGTTTTGTTCCCTTGTGGGCCATGCTCAGGAGATATATCCAAAATGTGGGTCTTTATCATTGGCCATTGGATTTCAATCGGATTAAATTAATCTCAGTGTCAGAGAAGAAAATCAAAGAATGGAGGAAAAGGGATAATGCCTAACAAAAATTATGTTCAAACACTGTCCAAGTTCAAGGTATGACTTCTAGTCTAAGTGCGTAATTATTTCTCCTTCAACTTCACAAATTATATTATTATTCGTATGGTTGAGACTCTGAATGCACTAAGAAAAGGAAAAGTATGTTTGATGACGATGTTGTTCTCGACTTATCATATCAAAGATTGATTATCACAAGATCAACTTCCATCCTTCATGATTAATAGGGATAGTGTAAATTCACGAGCATATTTGTAAGTTGTCTCGTCAATCTTGTTTGATAAAACGTGATAACACTATCGAGGGTGACGCAAATTTGAAATGAAATATACAACTTCTATGTAATGTCCCAAATTTTTTTTACTGCGAATTAAATTTAAATTTAGGACTTAAGTGCACTATTATTAAAGTTAAATGACCTTATTAATCATTAACCAATAGTTGAGGGCCCAAGTAGAAAGTTATTTTGGAAATTAGATGAAATCATGCATAAAACGTGTAAATATGCTAATTAGTCTTGATTATTGATAATTTATTGACCACATGCATTATTCACACCACATTTCAAGCCAATGTAATTGATTTGACCACATGCACCTAGTTTTAAGCTAAATATATTGATTTGACCACACAATTTAAGCTATTTATTTTATTATTTTCATGACAACACACCATTTAAGCATTGACCAAGCCTATATCCAATCATTTCCCTCCACTTTTCCACAAATGGTTAAGAATTTTCACTATAAATAGAAGATAAATCTAACACTAAGTTACCCGCAACAACTATTTACACAATCTCCCTCTCCACTTCTATAACTTTGTCTTTTCACTTCCTCTCTTTCTCTTGTCATTTCGATATTAAATATAGTCGTATACTTATACAATCACACGGAAATAATCAATCCCACAAGCGACTCTAGGATCTCTTTTCAACAACAACTCATTTTATCATTTTGGATTCTCTAACAAAAAAAGGGTAAGTTGTGCTTTATGTTTATGGTGGCTAATGTTTATGTATGTAACATTTCTACCATGTTGCGTATATTTTATCAAGAATGAGCTGGAGTTTAGTAGCGCTACACACGAGAATTTAGCACTATATAAGTTCGGTTTAATTTTCGTGTCTCTTTATGCAAGTTATGAATTTTCCGTAGAAATACATATATGAATTCATTATCCACGCACACTTATTGAGAATTTATTCTCGCCTCATTATGTCACTACTTTTAGATGATTGATGATTTGAGGTAGTCGGCATGGAGATGGCTTATGGTGGCAATAGTTTTAATAATAGAATTATTAAATTGTCAAACTATCATTTCATTTGATTTTAAATGTTTTAAGATATTTCTTGTTCCAAGTTAATTTATTAAATTCATTACATTTTTGAATTTTAATAAGTACTTAAATAATTTATATGATTATATTGAATACTCTTTCAATTAGTTTAGTTTAGTGATTCTCGAACCGTTAAGGGTTGGAGTTGTCACATTATAAGCAAGGATTTGTAAGTATAACATTACTAATACAAAACTAAAAGTAAAATATTGTATGATTTACTGTACCAAACATAGTACCAAACATATTGCATATTGGATTCATTAGTCAAGTATTAAAAAGGATACTATATCCAGCCCTCATTGTATAAAGATAATATACAAATAAAATCTTTCGATTGGTTGAATTATTAATAATTTGTAACATGATAAAATTTCATGTCCAGTGACCATCAGTTCAAACACTTTATTGTATATGAAAACACATAAATATAAAACAATAATGAAAACAAGTATTTTCAATTCAGTACATGTACAGTAATGAATAGAACTAGCGAGTATATGAAAACGATTTTAATTTCTTCGTTTCCTAATACTTCGAGTTCTATCCAATCCACTTGAATAGTATTTTGACCACAGGGTATTTTGCACAAAGAGAAGAACTATATTTATTACAAGATCCAAAAACAGGTTGAAAAACTTTGTAATTGCAAGATTAACTGGAAAATTTGGAATTTAAAATTTGAAGTAGAAAATAAAATTAAGAATCGAGCCTTTATGAATTGGAAAACTTGCAAGATGTCATACTCATTGGAGACTTGAGCACAACAAAATTAAAGGTTGAACATCAATTTGTTACAAATCAAAAGTCCAAGAAATACGTGCTCTATATTCATCGCGACCAAGGGCTATACGGTCGTTTGATAAGGATAGAAGAAAAATGAACTTACAGTTGCATTCTATAAACAGATAGAAATAGGCTGGTTAAGAGTTACAGTTACGAGCCAGGCCGACCAGAAATTGACATGTAAGCAGACCACGCCTGACCTATCTGCAACTGGGCTGGCTGGCTGGCTGGCTGGCTGGCTTTCTTTGCTGATACCACTAACTTCAACACCAATGTAAAATCAAACATGAAATGCAGGAATGAGTACAAATATAAGCTCCACATAGAGATTTTATCGAAGCTTTTTGAAAATAACACGTTACTTGGGCCCTTATTTGACTAATTCGAGCCATCAATAAAACTAGAGTTCAAGAGGAAAGCCAGAAACTAAGATTTATAATACAAGAAGTTGAAGGAAGTTATATCAGTATATAGGTCTAATACATAGATTCGTTTTAAGATAGAATCAAAAAACCATAAGATTTGTCATAAACATATAGAACAGTTGAAGCATGATCTCTAATTGAGCTGAATAGGAAGTTAATTACAAAAAATTCTTGAACAAACATTCCAACAGGTGTGAGGAAGAACATAGAAGTTATACGACTACTACTATAAATTTCTACAAAAGAAAAGACCAGGTTTCGTCCTACAAATTAACACAGATGAAGAAGGAAGCAACGACTAAAGGAAGAAAAAAGAACAAGGTGAACCCGCAAAGATTTCACCTCCTAAATCTCCAAGCTGATACCTAGAAAAGGGGTCGATCTTGCCAGCCAGTCACCACACAGCCATTTTCTTCCTTGATCTTATAACCATCACTGTTATAACCTTGAAGCAATTTCTTTGCTTGCAACATAGTATAATAGCTTAAAGGAACATTTGCAAAACCAGCCAAATCAAATCTTTGAGCCCATTTTTCAAGCTTTTCATGTCTTTCCTTCCTCTCGGTTCCCTCATGTTCACGAAATTATTTGTTTCGATTTAAAATCCACCGCAAGTGTACGGCTCGTTAACAAGTAGTAAAATGGACTATGAGTCCAAGTATCGATCCCACAAGGATTGAATTAGCTCAAATCAACATATTATGACCTTAATCGAAACACAAAAGTAAAAATTGATGTATTGTGATTTAACTAAAGAAGATATAAACTATGGTGCAATTATGGGTGAGAGAATTATATTAAATGCAAAATGACTTGGATACAATCTACTAGAATTTATGGAATTAACGAGTGTACTAACGCACTAGGATCACGAATCCCCAAGCAATACCCGTTCACTTTTTAATCGTGCAAATTTGACACACGGTTCCACAAAAGATGAATTAATATTCCTATTTTAATTTAGCAATCTCTCTCGAGCAATGTCAAACCTACCCCAATATGTGATTCGACTATATCTCTATGACGAATACTAACATACCGGAATGCATTATGATTTCATGAATATCCAACAATTCACACAAGGCATGGAGGTATATTTCTATCCCTTATCGGACCCTTTGATGATTTATACTCTGTTGAACATATGTTCCTTCTTTCGAATGCATAAAACAGGCCACCGAAATCATATAATTACGTGCACAATAATATGGAAATAAAAACGTAATAAATCATTCAATTCCGGAACATGCGTTTAAATATGTCAAATATCAAAATCAAAAATCAAACATAGTATTACAAGGTTCATCGATCTCCTAACAATGAAAAATCTAGCCTAGCATGCTAAAAAGAAGAAAATACAAAAATAGTTGAAGAAACGTCATCACCCGAATCAAGTTTCAATCGAATCTTCACTTGGCGCGATGTTTTCCTCTTGTTCTCTCTTCGTTTCTCCTTCAAAATCTCTCAAAAACTTGTAAAAACGGCCTCCCCTCGTTTTGGACGTCTTTTGGTATTTATATCGCGTGAAAATTTTGTTACCAAAAGAGTTTCAATCGTACAAGGAAAGTAAAATTTTTTGCTTTGGAAAATTACCATGTGACCGCATGGTTTTAATCTGTGCGGTCGCATGGTTATGACATGCTGCGTAAAAAATTTCCTGCCCTATCTGTGCGACCGCAAGGGAGATCTACCATGCGGCCGCATGGTAGATTCTCACTTTCATTTTCTCCACTTTGGTCCCTCTACTTGAATCTTTCACTTTTTGACATCTTTTCTTCATTTTTTCCAATCCATCATCCCAAGATATCATCAATTGACATTTGGTTTAATCAATTTCTTGATTTATTCATCGGGTCAACTTTTGGATAATTGCACCTTGGTCCCTAAACTTTCACTTTGCGTCATTTTAGTCCTTTTTCGCGTCTTTTCTCCTTAATTTCACCATGTTCATCGGTGTTCTCTATAATGCACAATTATAATGAGATTAAATCACAATTCAATCATTTTGTTCGTTATTAAGTCATGTTTGTGACCTAAATAAGTGTGCAAAAACACACTTATCAAACCCCTCAAATTTGAACTATTGTTTGTTCTTAAACAAGATAGTGACTTAATTCTGAACAAACATGGCTTAATACTCTGTTGTGGCTCAGGATTGGACTAAGTATTTAACTTTAT